ATTTATACTAGTTCATAGGCAGTAAAAATGTTTTTAGGAAATTGAGATAGGTAACATTTTTTTTTACTGTTGTAAGGTTTTAAATTATAGACAATGGCTGTTTGAGTTTGGACAGATCTGAACACTACAAACTACAAGCCATTTATAATTAAGGCCTATTTGTATTCATGTACAAACACTGTTCACTCATCTTATTTAGAACAAAAAACCTTTTTTTTTACTAGAGAACTTAATAAAGGACATATTTTCCTTTTTTATGACAGCTTCATGTGCAGAAATTCATGTTATTTTAAGAGAATAAGTCTCTACCTGATAACAAGACTGATGGCTTGTGAACATATCCTACACCACCATTGTCCATAAATCGACCATGATTGAGCTGCATTGCTTCACCGCTAGTCTGGTAGTTTAAGGCAACTGTAAATACATTCAAATAATTTTTTTAAAATTTGTACACGAGCTTTGGAGGAAAATTGTTCATCACAACTAAAAAAATTTAAAACCACTACTTAAATTGTAGCATTATCAAAATAACTGAATCTATTTCATAGAATTACTTCTAAAGGATATGTTAATAAAGCTATTCTAATTCAGTCTTCCCCTCAACCACCACCCAGTGCAGTGCCAAATTTAAGCTTTTTGAAGCCCTAACTTATATGAAACTTGAAAGTCATCTCTCAAAAATGTTTCCTTACAGTTATAAGAAAACCTGGAAACATGTACATCTTAAAGTCTTAATATGCACCTTTTCATTATTTGAAAAACACTTGAAGTGCAAGGTACACTTTAAAAAAACAAACTAATACAATTAAATTTGTATCATTTGGTTATTTTGATCTGAATTCTGATCCAGCACATTGAATAGGCCAGGCATTGGTCATTCAGTTCTGTTTTTAAAATCAGCAACTTACCAACTTGGCAGCCATGGTTCCACATGGGCACAGGGTTATAGTTACTAGAATCTATCCTTATCGCAGTTGGGTACGCCCGGATGAGTCTGTGGTGAGTTATCCTGTTGACACCTTGGTCACTGGTTTGGAATAATTTCTCCAATTTGTTTTCACTGAAAGATATGACCGTGAAAGCTGCATCTGTTTGAGTAACATGACAAAAGTTGAATGAGTTGACTGACAACAGCAACATGACAAAATTTGGATGAGTTGACTGACAACAGCAACATGACAAAATTTGGATGAGTTGACTGACAACAGCAACATGACAAACGTTGGATGAGTTGACTGACAACAGCAACATGACAAACGTTGGATGAGTTGACTGACAACAGCAACATGACAAACGTTGGATGAGTTGACTGACAACAGCAACATGACAAACGTTGGATGAGTTGACTGACAACAGCAACATGACAAACGTTGGATGAGTTGACTGACAACAGCAACATGACAAACGTTGGATGAGTTGACTGACAACAGCAACATGACAAACGTTGGATGAGTTGACTGACAACAGCAACATGACAAACGTTGGATGAGTTGACTGACAACAGCAACATGACAAACGTTGGATGAGTTGACTGACAACAGCAACATGACAAACGTTGGATGAGTTGACTGACAACAGCAACATGACAAGAATTGGATGAGTTGGCGGACAACAGTAACATGACAAAAGTTGGATGAGTTGACTGAAAATAGCCCACTTGAGAAATTTTGGAAAATAAAATGGAAGAAAGCAATGATTCCTTTGTTTTATAGATCCTGGGAGCAAAGTGAGATCAATGTCAAGCCAAATAACAAGATTTTGATTTTGAATTAGTCTGAACCTCATATACCTGGTACACAGGGTCCCCAAATTTTACACAGGAATGTAAAAACTATTGTTATCTTTCAATAGGATAGAAAATTTCTTGTGCTTTAATTTTAACAGTTTTTCAACACAACCTATGTATTGTAAAATAAAATGTCACTGGCAATTTTTCTTAACTTTACAAGTATTGATATATTGACTTGTAAAGTAAGCCCAGTAGATTTTTTTTTTTAAGTGTGCATTTGGCTATAGTTCAATGATACAATGATAAATTCTTTATTCACAATTTGGAAGCTAAAACTGACATTTTAAACTAAAAGAATTTAGAGACAGTTTGGGATCATTTCACTTTATTGTAAAAATACTATTCCAGGTTGTGTTTGCTGATGAGAACTGTAATATAATTATTATAATTCAATATAGGGAAATGGGGGAAGGGATTCAATGAACAATTCTAATCACATTTTTTTAAAAATCTATAAATTAGACTACAACCTTTCTGGGCTGCTGTTTCAATTGACTTGAAGGCCACACATTTTATTGTGGTGATTTTACTTAATTCTGGGTGTATCTCAATGTTGTGTTGCCCTTCTTGGCCTTTAACCTTGTTGTTGTTGTTATCAGGTATGTCAGCAGCCTCATTCCTGAGGTCATTGCCCTAGAATGAAACAAAATCAAATGCCATCCGTTGTCATTTCTTATAGGTCTAGATACTGATTTAATGTTTGATGTCACAGAAACTGTAATGTAAGCTTTGAGGCCAAAGACCAGAGTCCAAACTGTTTGGCATCAGTTTCCTTTGGTCATCCGCAAGATAAATTGTCTCATATTTTTGTCAGAAAAGTTTTTTTTATCGATCTCAAATGTCTGGTACTGTGGGGTCTAATTCATTGAATGGCAAAAATACATTTTCTTACAAAACAATTTTTTTACCAAGTCCTAAAATAATAAAAACATTTCAAACCTTGATGATTATTTTGTTCTTCAGTTTCTCGGGGGTAGGTGTTTCTATCAGGTCATCTTCTTTCCGCCATATCTTTTCTGTACATTAATAGTTAAGTTGAAAAAACAATAAATAAATAGAGAAATACATGATGGACAGTTATGGCCGGTACCAGATCAAGAGAATATGACAACCATGTCACAGCTGAAACTAGCAGATAGGTGGCAGCACTAATTCAATAATTATTAGTTTACCAGACAGGTGGGAGAACTAATTAACTAATTATTAGGTATCTTTTAAAAATATTTCATCTTCATGATACCTTCACATATTTTTAAAAGGAAAAAAAAAAGAGATGGTTGGATTTTTCACAGCAGCTTTTCTCACTTCTTTCCTGGGCCTACTGCCATCAGTGATCATGCTATGCCTCCATGTCCCTCACATCATGTCTACATTCCTGAATACATAATTACATGTCCTCATATTGAGAATGATGAACATGTCAATGAATTAGTAATTATAAAAGGAAGGATACCTCCAAATGTCAAGTTCATTATGTTAGCCATGACTTGCTGTTGTTGAAGAGAACAATGGTTTTCTATGGATAATATGACTGGATATCTGAAAATAAGCACATCATAAATTCGGTCGTTCCTCTATTTAACTGTTATGCCAATATAAGTTGAGGTTGGTAATGAATACTAATTTTGTTAGATTAATTTATTAGTAACTGACATGAGATTAAAAGATTAAAATTGGGCATCAAGTTTTTCATTGGTACACTGCCACAAAACAGAGATATTTAAAAGCATTAGAGCTTCTCAAACCAAACCATACAGGCCTAAATAAAACTTACCTTTGAAATTAATAGAAATTTTCTGTTGTAACATTTTTAAAAAATATAGTTTGCATGTTTTTTCAGAGAAAAGTAGTTAGTCATAGTAGTATATTATTCAACATCACATTTTCTTCCATCTTTTCCCCTCCCTTCCTATCATTGTCTATTTTAATTAGTCCTCTCTATTTCTCTTGGCAAAAACCACATCTTCATGACATAATATGCAGCTGATATAACTTCCAAATAGTTTAAAGATTGATTAAAGGTCAGCTCACGGAGATGTTATGAAGGCATATTCATTGATGGCTTTGATGACATCTCGGAAGAGTATCTTTGAGGTGAGAGTGTGACCATGGTAGATGACTGGATCATTTTCCGGTCCATCCCAGCAGTCCACTGAAAGCATGGCAGGGAGACAACAAATTAAAGGGAGAACACACATGAAGTGGAAAAGGCAAAAAAGGAAAAATAAAACCCTAATAGTTATTCTATTTATACAAGCATATAAATGGATAATTCTCTAAAATGCTACATCTACTTGAATCAATTTTTTGTAATGAATAAAACAATGTCTACTGTAATACGAGAAAGTCTCATGAAAAGAAACCAAAAAAGCTTCAACCAAAGAATTAACTAATTATAACAGTGTTATAACAATTCAACTAAAGAGTCAACTCTGCCTTCACCCGAAAAGGACTAACTGTTCAGGGTGGGGGGAGGCAGGTATAGAAAGGAAAGACTGGGGTACATTCATTCTTACGTTAAGATTTTTTAAAAAAATGTTTAATTATAGTATTTTAAAATCAATGAGCCCAGCTACTTAGCGATACACCAACATTTGTCCTATTAAATGAAAATGAACATTAAAAATGATACAATAGTGATCACAAAATTTAAGCATGATCATAATATTTATTGTGACATATGATACATATTTTTAAAAAGACTGCCTTACCACTAGCAGATTGTCATATTTCAACCAGGTAAA